TATATATATATATATATATATATATATATATATATATATATATATATATATATATATATATATATATATAAGAGGATAGTTCTTTATATATTTAATGTTTTCCGGTTTGGGCTTAGGACTGGTCAGAATAACTGTCCACAATGAGTCAAAAAGAGATCTCTGTCTAACTCGTGTACCTTGACTTACGTACCTTAACAACATTACCCCCCCCCCCTCAACCTCAGCCATCCCGTAAATTATCCGTACATTAAGTATAATATTTATACTTATAAGTTACATGGAATTGCATCTGTGTGCAACCAGGCAAGCAAGAACCTAGGGCTCTTAAGGCATAATCTTAAGATCGGCAACTCCAGTGTGAAAGAAAGAGTCTATAAAGTCTTAGTCCGACCGCTTTTAGATTACGCATCTTCAGTCTGGGACCCATTTCTTCTTCTATATATCAAGGGCCCACGATAAATTTATTGATCATTTTGGCTCCCATGCAAGTAGAGGGGATTAGCAATGCTTCTGTGCCTGGTGTTGATTTACCCAGAAGAGCATCGACAGGTTGGAGACGATCCAACGACGGACAGCACACTTTGTTCTGAACCGCTACAGGAATACATCTAGTGTTGGCAGCATGCTGGAAACACTGGGCTGGTCACCATTGGAGGAACGACGACGACTATCCAGGCTCTCCATGATGGGCTGGTCCACTGCTCCATCATTAAACAAAAACTCGTCCCTCTCCCCCATAGATGGTGACGAGGCCATGACAGGCAGTTCCGGCTCATACCAACAAAAAGCCAGTACAGGAACTGCTCATTCCTGCCAAAGAACAATCAGGAACTGGAACGCGCTTCCAAAAGGAACAGTTGAGGCGACACATTTGCGTCTATTGCCTCAGGGCCTACAACCCCCAGTTCATGATACCCTCGCTGAGTAGCGCTTGCAACCAATGGAATGTCCTCTTAAACACCAGGCACATTGCAAATCCCCTCTACATGCACAGGAGCCAGAATGATCAATACATTGATCGTGGACCCTTAAAATATAACAGAAGAAGAAGTATTATTATGTTTAAGTTAAATGTTATGCAAGAACAGTTCATTCCTTTGGATAAGTGAACATTGATCTCAGCTTCAGGCCAAAGCCTCTAGCTTGCGAATGAACAAACACAACATGTGATGCAAGGCGTTGATATTGGCATTGAAAAAAATATTTATTAAAATTGGAATGGAAAAAAGGTTGGAGAAGTATACGGGGACATGGTTTAAGGATAAGGGTTAGGGGCCTATATGTTAGGGTCCTATATTATTATGTTAGGGCCTAGATGTTATGGGCCTATATTATTATGTTAGGGGCCTATATTATTATGTTAGGGGCCTATATTATTATGTTAGGGGCCTTTATGTTTGGAGCCTATATTATTATGTTAGGGGGCTATATGTTAGGGGCTTATATTATTATGTTAGGGGCTATATTGTTATGTTAGGGGCCCATATTATTATGTTATGGGCCTATATTATTATGTTAGGGGCCTATATTATTATGTTAGGGGCCTATATGTTAGGGGCCTATATTATTATGTTAGGGGCCTATATGTTAGGGGCCTGTATTATTATGTTAGGGCCCTATATTTATGTTAGGGGTCCATATTATTATGTTATGGGCCTATATTATTATGTTAGGGGCCTATATTATTATGTTAGGGGCCTATATGTTAGGGGCCTATATTATTATGTTAGGGGCCTATATGTTAGGGGCCTATATTATTATGTTAGGGCCCTATATTATAATGTTAGGGGCATATAGTATTATGTTTGGGGCCTATATATTAGGGCCTATATTATTATGTTAGGGGGCCTATATTATTATGTTAGGGGCCTATAAGTTAAGGGGTCTATATGTTAAGGGTCTATATGTTAGGGGTATATATGTTAGGGGCCTATATGTTAGGGGCCTATATGTTAGGGGGCCTATATGTTAGGGGGCCTATATGTTAGGGGGCATATATGTTAGTATTAAGAGCCTTCAGTTTTAATGTATGGGTGATCGCGACTAGTTCTATACAAGCAGTTTTACTCTCCCCATTTGGGTGGAACACAGTTCTCGTTTTCTGTTGATTAAGGTGGCCAGTGGCGTAGCTAGAGGGTGCTGGGGTGCGGACCGCACCGGGTGTCACCAACCCTAGCTACGCCACTGAAGGTGACAATTTGTTCAAATTCAAAACCAGGATTTTTTCTTAATTTCAGATGTGTACCTGGTTTCTATTTCCTGAAAATGAATATGTAGACTATGCCTACAATGGAATATAAAAAAAAAACATTTCCATTTTTTGAATCAGTAAAAGAATTCATCTTAGGGGTCGTTCACAAATTGTATAACACAAAAATGATATTTTTTACCTACCCACTTTCCCCAAGTATAACATTATATAAAATGTCCATTAACACCACCCCACCACCCCCCAACTGATATGTAACATTTATAGCACCCCCCCCCCCTTCATCTTAGGGGTCGTTCACAAATTGTATAACACAAAAATGATATTTTTTACCCACCCACCTTCCCCAAGTAAAACATTATAAAAAATGTCCATTAACCCCACCCCCCCCCCCCCCAACTGATATGTAACATTTATAGCACCCCCCCCCCCAACCACGATCAAGCCATATAACGTTTAAAAAATAAAAAACAGCAACAACAAAAATTTTAAAACGAATTTCAACCAACAAATTTATTTTTTTCACACAAAAGTGTGCTAATTATTGTAAGTTAAAGGAAAAGGTCAAAAAGTTGTTGTTATTAATATTAATATAGTTTAATTTCTTTAATTTAAAAAGCAGAAATGTTTGCAAAATAAGAATTCTAAGAAATGTAAATAAAAAAATAAAAATTACCACCCAACCCCATATAATAAAATATAACTAAAGGATGAACCACCCCTACCCCTTTCACGTTGTACAAGCTGATATGTGCAGGTTCCTTGTCTTTTTATTAATATTTTTGTATTATGTTTCAAACGTACACTACTCTCTAAGAAAGAGATTGTCTCAAACTCAAGGGTCGTGGATGAAGTGCGGTGGACGTGAGAAAGGACAGCGATCTTTGGGAAACTATTTTATAGTCACGAGAAGATTACTGTTGTATATAGATTTTAGCATATAGCATCTATCTTATCATCGGTATACAAAAACAAAAGGAAAAAAGGGGATTGGGGGGGGGGGGTAAGGGCGGAGGTTGTAGTGAGAAATTATTGGTCCGAACCACACATTTTCACCGCGTGGGTGAATGTAAAGTCTTCACAAGTATAGTTTTAGCTTTAATACTTTAAGTATATTAAAAATAATGTAGTACTATTTTGTAAGAAACAATTTAATAAAGGCAATGCACATAGGCCTTTATGTTTATTTTAAAGCCATAAAAGAACTCCATTTGCGACAATAATGATTAAGTTAGCAATCATTTACATTTGGTAATTGCTTGGGGAACACGCTGGTAAATTCATACAGATCAGGTGGGGGGTTGGGGTACATTTTTAAAAATCTTTTGTCATGTCCTGAAATGGTGTTGGGAAGTAGGCCTATCACTATCATTTAATTCTTTTCTTTTTAGTTTCATGGCAGCATTTTTCTTTAAATAGTTATTAATGGTCTTGTATTTATGTTTACCATTGCACTATGAAGGAAAGAATTAAATTCAAGCAAGAATTGGGTTTTATCAGGTTTATTAAATTAAAAGTGTGCCAATGATTTTATTATTTTCTCCTCGTATTAATGAGTACAAAGAATGATCACTAAAATGTTTCTTTAAAATGTGACGTTTAGCTGGGCTATTTCCCTTTGCTAAGACTTGCCAGTTTGGGAGGAGTAGCCAGTCAATAGGAAAATCCTTTTTCTGATGAACCCTTTTCACATTAAATTATCTCTTTCTGTACATCAAATATGTTCTTCAGGAGACTATTCCAAAATTCAGTCATATTGTTTGATTATTTTATGTTTTAAATGAAACGGTAAACCAAACAAAAAAAAAAAAAAATTGTAATAATGTTAATTCATATCAATCTGGCTTTGAATTCAGGGCCGGATTTTTACACATTTCTATGCCTTAGACCAGTGGTCGCCAAACTCAGTCAAAAGAGCCAAAAATCAGCAGGAGTAATAAGGCGAGAGACTGCAATCAGGTTAGTACAAAATAAAATGATTAAAACAGAGTAGGGTTAAACCTTCTATTGCTGCCCACAGATACTACTTTCCAGCTAAGTGCTATTTCTTATTTTTATACCGTTTTTTCTGTTGTTTTG